TGGGCCCTCTTGGTTTATGTTGGGGCAGAGCAGGCAGACTAATGAGGCAAAAGGACGGGGGGGGGGGGGGAATGGCGGTAGCGCCAAGCGCCCTGGGGGGAAAAATAAATAAATAACCCACAGCGCACTTTTGTAAATCTGCAGAGGATGCCAACCCGCCACGCCACCACTCACACATTCCCCCCCTCGAAAAAAGGTGGCATTGTTATTATCATTGTCGTCGTCGTCATCATTGACGAGTAGTTCATAACGACGCACGTTTCATCAATTAAATCCGATTGATCAGCTCGAGATACGCTGCCAAATGGGATTCCTCCAGCCACTAGAGGCCACTACAGTCACAGTGACATTACGAGAGATACGATTCTGAAATCGAGATTCACCCTCCTGTCCTTCGTGTGAATGTGAATTGAGCAGCAACGAAAAGGCCTCTCACGCTGGAGTGGATAGCAGAGGGCTACTGTCCCTGAAGCTGGTGGCACGGGTTCACAGATGCCTGGCAAATCATGGACTCACGAAGAGGAGGGAGGAGGAGGAGGGATCTTTACACCCGTAGTAAATATAAACACTCGTGGGACGTGTTGCATTTTCACTCCGTCTGACGAACAAGTTCAGGAATAGAAAACAAGCGAGTGGATCCCGGTTTGGGAGGTGATAAGACTTTACTTGTGGGGGGTGGAAGGGGGGGGGGGGCAGGGCATGGAGTGGGGGGGGGGTGTCTAGTGTCACGGCGGATTTACAACGACTCCGGGCGAAGGCCAAAAGGGGCTCGCACGCGCTCACAGAGTTGCGGAGATCTCCCCGTGTGGCCTGTGCGACGCTGTTGGGGCAAGAGCGCCGAGCGAGCGCCCGCGACGACTTGTGACGGCGCGCACGAGGGGGCAGCAGTTGAGACGCGCACCGTTCCCGACCGCCTTTGTCTCCCCCAGTGCTGATGTTGGACACACCGCGCCCCAGGTATTCGTTCAAAGAGAATGACAAATACTGAGCCAAGAATGTCTGTTTGTGTGTAACGCGCGTGACGTCACTCCACGTGCCGCACCCCCCCCCCCTCCCCATAATGAATATTCATGAGCGGGTGGATTTTTACACTCACGCAGCAGAAGGTCGAGCGGAAAGAAATGTTTTTTTTCGCAAATTCGCTTTAAATTTCACGTTTCTTTATTGAAAGTGAATCCAATAAATAATTCTACGCAGCAACAACGCGGATTTGGTGTCCCCTGTATAGCCACTCATAAACTGTTGGGGCAAATGCTGTTATAGCGAGTATCTATAAAGGCCTGCACAGCTTACGTGAGGGTTGCGTGGCGAGCACCACACCCGGCCGCCTTTGTATCCCCAGTGGCGATGTTTACACACCGCACCAGGTACCCATCTGAGGCCGAGTCGACCTAGGGGAGGCCCAGGACGCGCTCAGATATTCATCACAGATATTGGCCAGGAGCGGGCATCGAACTCGGCTCGCCGGGTTCGTAGCGCAGCGCGCTGTCCCGCTACGCCACCGTTCCCCACGCACGCACGTGATCGCACACACGCACACACGCGCACCCTCACATGCACGCCATCCCTTGCGGGCAGCGCGGGTTTGGCCGGGCCACGTGTTACACGTTTGTTTTTAATGCCCTCCGGCTGGAGAGAGCCAGCATCTGCCCTGGGCGACCGTGCCACATCCACGATCATTACCGGCCCCTTTGAGACAGAGCGGTGGGGAATTCAAGCCAAATCCGAGGGGTGCTCCATCCTCCAAAGTCAAGGGGTGTGTGTGAGGGTGGGTGGTGGGTTGGGGGGGGGGGCATCGCGGTTGGCATGCCGCCCTAAGTTTGTTTCTGAGCCTACAGCCAACATCAGTGCTGCATGATGGGGCAAAGTATACCACATAGAGCGGGCCTATTCATTGTGGTAAATAAGCCACATATAATTCATCATTTGATATGGTTTCAGAGCCAATGTCAGTTTTTATTGTGATTATGGGATTCCAGTGGCGTGGCAGTGGTTGGCGCACTGCGCTTGAACCCGGTGAGCCGAGTTTGATTCCCGCTCACGGTTAACATCAGTGACTAGCAACATCTGAGTTGCTCGCAACTCCCCTACTCAGCAACTTCGCACAGACCAGTACGGTGAAGTATAATCAAGCCCCCCCCACCACCCCCATGACCAGCATGGCATAGGGGTGTAGGGTGGAAGGCAGTGGATTGACAAATGGGGCCATACATGATTCTTACATGATTATGCGAGTAATGCATTTCAAAGTGACGCAGGATCTGTCAATACTCAGGACACAGTTTGGGAACACGTGTTGCATACGTGTTCCTTACTCACACGCGCGTGCGTTACATTACTAACGCGCGTGCGTTACCTGTACGCTGCCGATTCAACGCGCTAATTTACAAGTACCATTGCCCGAAATATCGAACCACAATGTGATCGACACTGCGGCGTCATTGACAGCACGACAGTTTTCTTCCCCGTGTTATTGACGAAACTTGCGCTGACTTTATTCTAACGACAGTCCGCGTGATGCGCAATAAATCACACCGCCTAAACCCCCCCCCCTCCACCCCACAGAGCTACCCCAAGACAAAAAGCATCCGAAGTTCCTGAACAAATGCACCATGTCCCTCTCCTTTCTGAGATCACGATCCAAACAAAGTTGAGCGAATGTGACCGATAATTATAGGTGAGGTCCATAGTCCTCGTTGTTGTTAAAATATATTCCATTTTATGTATATTACGAATGTTTTGTACATCTTCGATTTACGTATATTTAATCATCGAGCGGGATCAGGCAGGACGTGTCGCTTGGGATGCTGACGACGACGACGATGAGGGGCAATGTCAAATAACAATGAGGACCTCCGCCGAGGAGACGGAGCGATGAAATCGACTCGCGTGCGGTGCCAGGCGGATAATTACATGGCAGCATCATGAGAAATGTTGGGGACGTTGGGAGGTGTTTATCCAACAGCAGTGGATCAACGATGGCTGACAATGATGATAATTTTTTATTAATTTTTATCTCCTCCGGTCTCTTTCACTCCTAATTTCTCCTGTCAGGAAGGGGATGCAAGCCAGGCATTAATTTCTTGCCAAATATTTTCCAGGGGTTAGACTGGAATAGGCGGTGGGTGGCCCACAGTCGCCAGAGCGAGCGGTAGACTGGACGCTGCGTGCAAAACATTTTCCGGGACAGATCCGGGTGGAACGAATCCCTGGGTGCAACACGGCACCGATTGATTAACGTATAATCTTCTTGGTTCTTTCGGTAAAGTCACGTAGAAGGGATATAATAAAATAATAAAAATAAAACATAATAAAATAATTCTCACGACGTTTCGGCCACAACGCAAGCTGTCTCCCCGACAGACCTGGTCTTCACCTGAGGACGGCTGCTTGCGTTGTGGCCGAAACGTCGTGAGAATTATTTTATTATGTTTTATTTTTATTCTTTTATTATTTCCCTTCTACGTGACTTTACCGAAAGAACCAAGAAGATGAATCCCTGCAGTCACGAAAGCTTTAAATCGACAGATTAACGTATCGATTCGGATGTGAATCGGGCTCACGGACAGCGCGCGTTTCGGAATCGCGTGCAGAGGAATCCCCGTTGCGTATGAATGGATGCTATTCGCGACGACTAAAAAATGTCGAGCTTGCTTACACCTGCAGCTCACTCTTCCTGACGCCTCTTCACTCTCACATTGTGCACTGCTCTCTGTCTCTCTCTCACTGCCGCCATGCGTCTCTCGTTCACGACCGTCGAAAAAAGTTCGGCATCCATACAACCACCTCGTTTGTTGTGCAATAATCCCTTGGGGACTCTGGTGTACTCAATCTCTGACGTTTTGGCGTTTGGTTTTTATGTTGCCGCTGGCGCTGCTGCTGCGCTCCCGCACACCGCCGATCTCCCCGTGTGCAGTGGCTGGGTGGTGGGCTGGCTAAACGGGACCATCCATCCGTGTAACAAATCAAAATAAACTTAAATTACGCACGTCGCAGAGTTTCCCCCGGTTACCCCTGCATCATCTGCAGGCCATCATCTTAACCCCGCACCCCGCTACCCCCCGCCAGCGGGTGTGGGGAGCGTTCCAGCCCAACCCCTCCCCCCCCGGGGATTTTTTTCTTCTTCACAATGTCTGGGACCCACTCGCAAGTGTCTCAAGTTGCTGGAGGCGCTCGCAAGCTCACGCGCCAGCGCACACACACACACAGACACACACGTGCACACACACACACACACAAAGCCAAAGACCCCCCATATAGCCTGAACAGATTGTTGGGGAAAGTGCTGTTAGCGAGCACCTATGAAGGCCGGCATGGCACACGAGGGGGTGGGTGGCCAGGAACCACGCCCGGCCGCCTTTGTCTCCCTAGTAGCGATGTTTATGCACTACACCAGGTACTGATTTTAGGCTGTTTAATGTTGCTTCATCTAGACGTTCACTGTTTCACAAGCGTTTTAAAAGACCCCTTTATCCACCGATAGCACCTGCCGCGAGTCGCTGGCCACAGAAGCCTCGGCTTTGCAAAGGTCATCCAACGAGACGCGTCAGAGTGGCCATAGTGTGGGGCGAGGAGGAGAGCTGCGCAGTTCGGTTGATTGGATCGACCGAAGCGTGACGCTCGTGTTTTCGATCCCAATGATGGCCATGCCAACATCGCACCTCCCGCCCAGCGCGACGCAGCCGACAACGACGACGCTGGAGGTGTCGCCAAGTCCAGCGCCTCACCTGCCGTCCAGCGGTGCACACGAGGGAACAGAGCCGAGGCTGATTTTTTGCTTGCGCAAACTAAATGTGCGTCATCCGGTGCGTCGAGCTGTTCCCAGCAATCATCGGTACAGCAGTCAAATCGACTAAACGATCGGATATCCCTGGCTCTGTCAGCCCGCGGGGAAGCGAAGCCTGCGCGGAGCCCGGCGGGAAGGGTCAGGCCGAGCGACGTCAAGAGCTCAGGGAGGGCACGGAAACGCACGAGGGGTCGGGAGCCCGAGGGTTACGCACCGGGGATGCATTGCACCGTTCCGTCCTCGGCCTGGATGGTGAAGGTTTCTCCGGGGTTCACTTGCACCAGGATGACCTGCGGCAGGGGGGAAGGGCAAAGGGAACAACGGCGTGTGAGCAGCGTGGCGAGCGATCGCAGACCTGCGGCGTCCATCTTTTGGTTACGGCGACAGGCAAAGGCGCAGCGCTGAAATCGCTGGCTCGCGTCATTGCCGCCAGAAGGGCCTCTGGACGGTGCTTTTGGCCTACTCTTCCACGCTGGTAAAAAGGTCCGAGTTACCCACACTGTACCCCACCACACGTGACTGCCAATCGGCTCCCCGTTTTAGCAGCCGTGTACACTGCCGGGGTGGACAGAGCTGGGCAAGGATTTACAATAAATTTGCACCAACGTTTAAACCGGGGGAAGATCGCAAAATGGCGCCGTGGCATCCCCCACGGCCTCCTCCCCTCTTTGTCCACGTCCGCGATTACAATGCACGAGTCATCGCAGGCAGCTGCGTACTGATTGAGAACTCTCTTTTTCGAGTGTGTCGGCTGGCTGGCCAGCCAACCTTTCGCTTTCTCGCACGGCAGTGCGCCAAACGGCCCGTGCGCTTCGAATGAACTCAGGCTCGGCTCTAATGAGCCGGCGCAAAGTCACGCCCACCCCGAAAGACTCGAGCCGGCTCCGAGCATTCGCGCGAGCCATTTCCCCCGGATTTCCACAGAGCTGGGACGAGCCACACCTGGGAAACGCTTCGTGCATCTCACAGGACTGCCACAAAGGCAACAAATTACCGCCGCATCCGCGAATGCCACCCCCGAGCGATCCGACGGTTTACGCCCGGCGTACTTCAAGACGAAGCCAAACGACTTCCTCGAGTCACTTTGTAAGTTGCGTAGAAAATTCTCTGCTGACGTCCGATGTTGTGTTTGTGACCGTTAACTTGTTGTTCGGGCCAACCTCCTGGAGGCTGCCGTTCAATTTCTCTGAACGTGTTTTTGCCAGTGGCGTTTTATTTCTCAATATTTACCGGAGCGGACCATCCATCCCTCGTAATCCCCGTGCAAGCTGCAACCACTGCTGCCATGGTGGGCAGGCCGCCCTTGAAAACAACAGCCCCCCCCCCCCCCCTCTTTGAGCTCCACGGGCCTCGCCTGTCTCAACTAAGTCTCGAGTCTTTGGAAGCAACCGAGCGGATCAAGCCAGAGCTGAGCCGTCTGTTCGAGGTAGTGCCAGGGCAGTGCCGCGACCGAGCCAACGGCCCCGAGTGTGTGCGTGTGTGCGCGTGTCTTTGCGTGCGTGCGTGCGCACAAGAGTGTAGCGGTAAAAGTGCACGGCGCCGTGAACCCGGCAATTCCCACGTTCGATTCCCGCTCACGGCCAACACCAGTGGCGATTATACGAAGCGGTCCCCTAGGTCGACCACGCCTCAAATGAGCACCTGGTGCGATGTGTAAACATCGCCAAGGGGGAGATAAAGGCAGCCAGGCGTGGTGCTGGCCACACCATCTTCTCCCGCGTGCATTGCTGGCCCTTTTAGGCGCTCGCTAACACAGCACTTGCCCCAATAGTCCGTTGAGGGTATGTAGGAAGTCTGTGTCTGCATGCTCGCCGTCAGATGATGCGGCCGTGTAAAGGCAGCGCGCGGTCAGCGTAACGCAGCAAGAGACGAACAAACATTACAAATATTCACGACATTATGCTCATTAAGCTACTACGAGGCTTTAAAACTATTACCAAATATATTGATAAAAATATCGCATTTTTCACGATTTTGTTCAAGTGTATTACCAGCTTGCCACGCCCATGTTTGTTAATATTTGTTTTGTGTCGTCTGCTGCTGTATGATGATTGCATTTTAAGAATTAATTTGTTTACAAATGTTATTTACTTCATCGACAATAAACATCTGAGCTGGGGAGTGTCATAGCGGTTAGCAACTTGCCCTTGACCAATCTGGTGAAATATGGTCCAAAAACTTCCAAGGTCTTCATCAAGCAAAAGAGTGCCAAAGGTCCGTAAATTTGTAACATCAATTATGATTATGTAATCAAGGATGTACTCGCGCCCGCCACAGGAACGTGAAATTTCCATCACTGGTTCAGCAGGGCTGTGAAAACGAAAAAAATGCGATATCACCAATGCCCCAATGCTCATTTGAACAGAAACATAACGCTTTAGAACTTTGCAAAAAAAACACGCATATACTCTAATCGTAATCAATCATGATCTATCCACTGCTGAATGAAAGCTCCCCCCCACGGGCCCCCCCCCCCACCCCACCACTCCCCCACGGCCGTGCCAAGCCAAGGCCGGCCGGCATCTCTCTCGCAGGCCCCTCGGCGCGCGTGCGGCGGCGGGCGTCTCGAATAATATGGAACGGGCGGGAGCGCTCGAATGACTTCAGCGCGGGGGCAAGCCGGCAGCGAAACACGACTCGTGGACAAAGAACAGGCGGTGTTTGTTCAAGTCCGGGGAGCCTTGACAATGCTGCGGGTTCACGGCGAGCCCTCTCGCAAACGTTTGGCTACCGGAGCGGCGCAGGAAATTTCGCGACAGAGGCAAATGCCACCGGGTCCAATCGCCCCGGCCAAATCACACAAACACTGCGGGCTGCTGCTGCTGCTACGCCCGGCCAGAGAACTAGGGGGGGGGGGGGGGGGGGGGGCTTTGCACAGGAAGGCGGTGTGTAGTAGAGCGTTGTGTGTGGAGTATGCGTGTGTATGGCGAATGTGTGTGTGGTAGAGCGGTGTGTGTTCTGTGAGCTTGGTAGAGCAGTGTGTGTGTGTGGTGAGTGTGGTAGAGCAGTGTGAGTGGTGTGTGTGTGGTGAGTGAGGTAGAGCAGTGTGTGTGTGTGTGCGCAGTTCGGCGCAATCATGTAGGTCGACTGTCTGGTGTGAAAAATGAAGGAACCTCCCTCCTCTGCCCCCATGAAGAATCACAGCGGTGGCGGTAGTAGTAGTAGTCACAGAAGAAGTCGTGACAGTCTCAAGTGTTTGGTGACCTACGCACCGGGCACCGTCATCAACAGGGGACGTCAAGCAGTATCTGACGGGCTCACTGCCACGTCTGGCTACGCAGTGCGTCTGGCGGGTCCGAGTACGCGGGTCTCCACGTGAGTACATTGGTCTCCGTGCATGTTGGTCGCCATGCGCGCCTGTGGGTCTCTGTGTCAATATGTTGGTCTCTACGCGAGGCTCATGGGTCCTCAATGCGAGTCAACTGGTGCCGGTCACTTGTGGCAACTACCGGACGTGCCTGCACTTCGAGGAGTGGACCGCTCGCTCGACTCGCGCACCCATCGCTCACACAACCCATCACTCTGTTGACACTGACCCTTTGACCCCTTTGACTCGTGTGACTTGGGCTTGCCCCCGTTGCCGACCCGAGGCTCCTCCTCTGCAGTTAAGTGGCACAGACGTTTTTTTTTTGTTTCCGAGCATGACCATCCGCAAGTTCCTCCTAATTCATATGACAGACCGGCCGATTTCCTTGGCCACAATGCATTTTCTTCGACGTGTGTACAACACACGCACGCACGGCACACCTCCGTCAGTCGGCGGTTTCTAAACGATCGCATGGCCACGCGGTCGGTTCTTTTGAGTTTGGCGGTCCGGATAACAAGCTGGGAGCTTTTGCACATCTGTGCGTGACGTTAAATCCACGTGGGGCGAGCGTACTTGAGACGTGGGGTGCAAACGGCCGCAAGTTGTGCAAAAACAAAGCGAACTTCAATGTTCGTGATACAGTTGGTTGCTTGTCTGGAGGCTCTAAGTGCATTAAATATTAATTAATATTTTCAACTTCAGCTGCGGCTGCAGCAACAACAGCGATGATCACGGATAGTGGGCGGGGGCAGTGAGGGGGGCGGGGTCAGTGAGGTGGGGGGGGGCAGTGAGGTGGGCGGGGGCAGTTCGCACGATGCCCCACCCCTAAGGAGCTCTTCCCGGAGCCCCAATGGGAACCGCCCGTTGTACAGGTGAACTACGCGTACAGGTGAATGGCGGCATGGACGCAGAGAAAACAAAACACAACCGAATATTCTTGCACCTAGATATTGTTTTTAGTTCTAACGTTACCGCTAATATTTAATCGCGCGCTGTTTATAAGAACTCTGGGATTCTGATGTATATATTTTTTTTACCAATGCCACACGCGATTGATTTTCTCACCAAAATTAGTAAATGTGGAAAGGCGCGGGACAGGTGGGGAAGGAAAAACAACAGAGGTGACTTAGTGGACGTGCGCTCTGATCTATCAACTCTGCTTTCCTGACTTCCATTCCTGGCCACGGCTAACGTGAGCGACGTCTGGGTGCCCAGCTCCCCCCGCCACATCTTCACCAACATGCACTGACCAGAGTGGTGAAGTATGGTCAAACAACTGCTTCGACTGAAATGGCGTGGGGGAGGGCCCTTATCCAGCCGTGCATTGACACAAGGGCCTAATCATTATTTATTATCTTATATAACACAAAGCACAGGCTTTCAGCTTCCCGTGTTACAGTGCGCCGTCTATTTTGAACCGTCTCATTAGATGCGGAAGCCTTTGCACGCTTCAGGAAGCCAAACTTTACACCGTGATTGTTTGTATTTGTTCTAAGGCTCAGAATATAATAATGAATGTTTCACCATCCTCCATGTTTGGTGGCCCCGTGATGATAAATACCAGGCTGTGTCAATCCACTGCCAGAACGAGCCCCTTCACCACACTGCGTCAACCATACTTCCCCTGCACTGGTCAGTGTGGCCTGGTGAAGGGGAAGTGGATATCGATCGCCACCGATGTTAGCCGCGACCGCCAATCGAACTCGCATCGCCAGCCTCGCAGTTCGGCGCGCTAACCGCTGCGCCGCCGCTCCACCCGGTGACTTGGATGGCGTGTTGAAAAAAAACCTATTCCCCCGTACAGCTCCCGCAGGAGAAGCACCCTTTTTGGGGGGGCGGGGAGCGGTGACCTCGGCACGAGGGCTCAAGCCCTGCGGATCGTCTGGAACCTTCCTCGAGCCTCTCACGGGGGGGGGGGGGGGAAGCCCGCGCGAGGTCGAGCGACGCGACATCGCTCGCTCGACTTGAGCTCTGGCCCCACGA